TCTTTTTCAACATTAACTAAATAAAATTAATAAAATATATAATTAATTATTAATTAATAAAACATTTTTTACATAAATGATACAAGAAACTTAAGAGTTTATTTTAATATTATCCACATGCACATGTGAATGCAAATGTGAATGCACATGTGAATGTGCATGTTTTAATACATACTAATAAATTTTTTTTAACATTATATGTTTACATATAATATTAAAAAAATTATGTAAATAAAAATTATATAAAAATTATATTTATAAGTATTTTTAAAAATAATATTAAATTACTACACTGGTGGACAAAATAATAAGGCACTCCAAGATTTTTTGGAATAAACATCTATTTGTACATATACGTGGAAAATGAATACAACAAAATGAAGTATAAACTTTGACATAATACACCAAAAAATTAAATAAATTGTTCAATCCATCTGTTATTTATAAAAAAAAATAAAGTTTTGTATGGAAAATGATAAGGCACTTGAGTTAGTCTGTTGAATAACTTTGAAGGCTATATAAATCTGTTCTATAGTAATTAGTTATTAATAATTAACGTAAATGTTTATAAGTGTTTAAGCTAAATTACTTTTTAAGCTAAAATTGAATTATGGGACAAGGAAAAGTGTTAAGCCAAGATGAGAAGATTAAAATACTGCAGTTAAAGTCCAATGGAGAAAATCAAGTACAAATTGCAAAGAAAGTAAAAAGAAGTCGATATGTTATTCAAAATTTTTTACAAAACCCTCAAGAATAAGGGAAAAAGAAGTCAAAAGAAATATCTGCAGCCCTTTCTTTGAGGGAAACAAGATTCATCTTAAAACGGTCTCGCTTTCCCGCGCAGAGAGCGGTCAGTCGGTTACCAGGAGGAGGAAGCGAGAACGTTGGAGACAGAAATTTGGTTATCAAGTTGTTAGGCGATAATTATAAGAAATGACAATGATTTATTCAAATAAAGGAACAACAGTGGAGGATGCGATGGAATGCACCGATCTTCGCGAATGATCGTGGCCGTGGACGGCGGTCGGCGCGATACTGGTCGCTGTGCGAAGTTCGGTAGCGTGAGGCGCGCGCGGCGGCGGTGTCGCACGTGTTCGCGGACCTTTAAATCAGCGGTGATTTAAAACGTGCACGCGTGTTGCGGGCGTTGTCGCGGTGAGATATTTGCGAGGTCATTGGATCGTTTAGATCGGAGAACGGGTGGGCTCGTTCCCTGCTGAGAGAGCTTGGCTGACGGGGGGTATACCTCTCGTCTGTCTCAGTGAGTGCCGAGTGAACTCGGTCAGCCGGAGAGGGTCCCAGTAGATCATGTACACCGACACGGACAGTCTCGTATACCACATCGAGTGCGATGATGTGTACGAGATGATGAAACGCGATATCGCTAGATTCGACACGAGCGATTATCCGATAGACAATGCGTATGGTATGTCTCTTGTGAATAAAAAAATATTCGGCATAATGAAGGACAAGAATAACGGTGCGATAATGACGGAATTCGTCGGACTCAGAGCGAAGATGTACGCGATGAGGGTAGACGGTAAAAAGAACACTAAAAAGGCAAAAGATGTAAAGAGTAACGTCGTAGCGCGAACAATAACGTTCGACGATTACACGTGGTGCTTGAATGAAGACATCGAAATGACTCATCGCCAATCGTATATAAGATCAAAGCTACATGAGATATATATGGTGTACGAGTCGAAAATCGCTCTGAGTCCTTACGATGGCAGACGATATGTCGTACCGGATTCGATGGATACGTTACCATGGGGGCATTGGCGGACCTTTATAATATACATGTATCAAGAGACAGGATGATGTCTCTACGCCAAGTTCACGCGCAGCGAAGTTCGCGTAGAACGGCGGCGAGACGCCCGTGGCTCTATTTACGCGAGACTCCGGGATGAACTCAGCCTACATTTTCATATATTTCAGCAATGACTGCATCGATTT